TCCTGTTTTCCCGGGATTTTCTTTGGCGCTGGGGCGCCCGGCTGCGCCCCGGCCGATCGCGGGAGTTCGCTCTGGGGCCGCTCGGCTCCGGAGGCAATTCGCCCTTTTATGCGGTGAACTCCGGCAAAGCGGAAGGCGGGGGTGCGGTGCAGGGCGCTATTCTCACTCCGGATTCATTGACGGGGACTTTTGAGACAGCAGCTTTGCATCTGAGGTTCCTTTTCCCCTCCTGGCTAGGAAAAAAAACTCGAAATACGACTCCCGGTGCCGAACCTGAGGGTCCTGATCGTGGTGCTGTTTTTTTATGAAAGAGCCTTGAAACTTTCCGTAGGGAGGCTGCGTCTTGGAAAGCGTTTCAAGTTCGGATCTAGGGAAACCGTGGGTGATCTTCCGCTAATACTTTTCTTCAGCAACATTATCTATCTAGCTATCTAGCTATCTAATTTATATAGCCGCCCATCTCACACAAAGTATATTTATTAGTAATGGGGTGAAGCTGAGATAACTTGTATGTACCGCTGAGATGAGATGTGTAAATGGACTTTCCAATCCAGCCTTTCCAAAGAAAATGGCACCTGGTTCTACCAAGAGAGTTTCCTTCCCAGGGCCTTTCGGAAAGAGGATCCTCTCAGGCCTAGTTCTTACCTCTCTGTTCCTGGCCATCCTGTTTACTCTGCCTTATCAAGACTTAACTAAGAAGGAAGTGGAATGTTGTGTTTCTTGTCTTTATTAGTCTAAAACAATGTGTCTCTCTGCATACGTAAGCAGGACATGAACAAGAAGCTCTACTGTGCAGCACCATTTCTCAGCTGACTCTCTCTTCATTCTCCTGTTTGGCCCAGATCTTTCATTTTCCCTTCCCCAATCTTTACTGACATTGCAAAATTGCACAATGTGTCTAAAGCATTTATCATTAGAAGAAGCTTTCTAAGTTTGGTATGTACACCGAAAGCCCTAGGATTGAATTCCTTTTTTTGATCACACATATATAAGCTTTATTAAAAATTTTAAGAAGAAAGATAAAAACTAACAAAAGCTAACATTTAGAGTGAAAAGAGAAAAGGAGAAAAGAAAGCCAAAAGTACAGGAAAAAAGAAAAAAAAACGACTTCCGATTTTCTTTTGCAACAGCTATAATAAATGTAAATTAACCTCTTACTGTATGGTTACAACCTTACTTACACTTTTTATATAATCTGGTTTTTTTTCCTAATCATCAAAACCATGTATCATAATTTCATTTTTTTCCATTTCATGCAAAAAGTCAATAAGGGGTTTCCAGTCAGCATTAAACTTAGACGATTTCTTGCCTCTAATTAAAGCTGTCAATTTGGCCATCTCAGCAAGTACCGTCATCTTCACCATCCATTCCTCCATTGTGTGTAAATTCGAATCTTTCCACCTTTGTGCATATAATAATCTCACTGCAATTGTCATATACAAAAACAAAGTTCCATGATTTTTTCCCAGCTGTTTATAAGTCCCAAAAGAAAAGTCTCTGGTTTCAATTGTATATTAATCTTTAAAATGTATTGTTATATATATTTGAGTCCAATTTTTCTGGCTTTTTTACACGTCCACCAAGCATGATAAAATATCTCTTCTTGTTTACATTTCCAGCATAAATTTGAAGTACCTTTATACATTCTAGACATTTTTTTCTGGTGACATGTACCAATGATACATCATTTTATAAAAAGTCTTTTTAAGAGTATAACATAATGTAAAATTTTAGTCTTTAAACCACATATTCTCCCTTTGTTCCATTTGTATATTATAATCAAAGTTTTTAGCCCATTTTATCATATTCTTTCACTTGTTCTTCTGTTTCAATCAAAGTTTCTACGTTTTAGCAATAACATGTTCATTGTTCAAATTCAGTCTTACAGTGTTCAAAAGTTTTTATCTACTTTAAATCTAATAATTGTATATAAGAAAACCACTGGCATGTGTATCCTTCTGCTGCCAGTTCTTCTCTTGATTTCATTTTACATTCTCCTTGACAAAATTCTAGTATATCAGAGGAAGTTAACCATTTATGTTTAATTATCATTTCTCTTTTATAAAATGCTTCTTGTGCGGAGAGCCACAAAGGGATTTTCAGGCACCACTTAGGTTTATATCTGTTCCATATTCTCAGTATGGTACATCTAACAAAATTATTTTTAAAATCTATATTAACCTTGGTTTTATTGTGCCATAAGTATCCATGCCACCCAAATCTCACATCATGTCCTCCTAACTCCAAAGGCGTTCTGTTTCTCAGCAATATCCATTCTTTCATTCAAACTAAACAAGCTGCAAAGTGTAATTTCAAGTCAGGTAAACCCAATCCTCCTCTTTCTTTTACATCTTCTAACACCATATATTTAACTCATGGGTTTTTTCCTTGCCACACAAATTTAGATACATTTTTCTGCCACTGTTTAATTGGTACATCAGATGTCAAAACAGGTACTGTCTGAAATAAAAATAACATTCTCGGCAAAACATTAATCTTAATCACAGAAATTCTCCTGAACAATGACAATAGTGTCTTCTTCCATCTTAACATATCCTTTTAAATTTCATTTGAAGTCTTAATTATTTTGAAATAACATACAATTCCTATTTGTCATCTTAATACCCAATTTTTTATCATCTTCTCGACCTTAAAACCCATTTTATTCATCAATTCTATTTGATCTTGTATCTTCATATTTTTGTCAACATCTTTGTCTTCTGTTTGTTAATCTTAAAACCTGCTAATGCACCAAATTATTTTAATTTTCCCATTAATATTTCACTTCCCTTTAAAAGATCTTTAAAAGAAAAAACCAACACCAGATCATCTGCAAAGGCTCTTAGTTTATAAGTCTCTTTTAATCTCAACACCCATAATCCTCTTGTCTTACATCTCCATTCAGCATTCCAAGAACCAAAATAAACAGAAGAGGGGACAATGGGCAACCTTGTCTTGTTCCTTTTTGTATCTCACATGGTTTAGTTAGATCTCCATTAACAATTATTTGTGTGTTCTGTGAAGTATATATCTATTTTATCCATTTTCTAAAATTCTCTTCAAAGTTCATATCTTCCAAAACTTTAAATAAAGAAGTCCAATTCAAATTGTCAAAAGCTTTCTCTGCATCTAAAATAATAATAATAATAATAATAATAATAATAATAGTAGTAGTAGTAGTAGTAGTAGTAGTAGTACAACTTGTTTTTCACTGTGCTGTTCAAAATATTCTAATATACCAGTACAGTTCTAACATTATCTTTTAATTGTCTTTTAGGTAGAAACACACATTATTCATGAAGTTCAAAATCTTGTAAAATTGTTTTCAACCTATCAGCTAGGATCATTGTAAATAGTTTATACTCATTAAGTAGTGATATTAGCCTATAATTTCTTATCAAAGTCAAATCATCCTTCTTTAGGTATTAATGCTATATTTGCCTCTTTCCAAGTCTCAGGCATCTTTCCTCCCTCTAAAATAAAATTCATTGTATTTTGCAAAGGTTGTAAAAGTTCATCAACGCATTTATAAGAAGAACCCAGTAATCCATCTGGTCCAGGTATATTTCCTGATTTAATCTTTTTTATAGCTTCAGAAAAACCTCTCTTATTGTTATAGGTCCATTCAAAATCTGTCTTTGTTTCTCTGTAATCTTTGGTAAATTTTGTTTGTTTATTTATTTATATTTCAAATTTGTCACCGCCCATCTCAATATTTTTAAATATTCATCTATTTTCTCCAAAGAAATATCATGTCCTTTATACAGATTGGAATAACACTGATGAAATGCTTTTTGCATTGCCATATTATCCGTTCATACAGTGTTTCTCTCTTGAAGTTTCAATACTGTTTTCTTTTTCTTTTTTTAATTTATATGCTAACCATTTCCCTGGTTTAATTGCAAATTCATAGTTTTTTTGCTTTGCATGGTTCATTTTTATTTCCATTTCTTTTACTGTTAACATCAAAAACTGTAAAAGTTTAACTTGATGAGAAATGTTTATCTTCCCTGGAGATTTCTTTAATTATTCTTCTTTTCTCTTTATCTCATCTAAAATAGCCTGTGTTTTCTCTTGCTCTTCTTTTTAAGTTGAGTTGTATAAAATATCCTCTCATAAAAGCTTTACTTGCACCCCAAGCCATTCTTAAGTTAGTGCCTATATTCAGATTATTTTCAAAAAATTATGTTAGTTTCTTTTTACAATCCTTCACTATTACTTCTTTCTGTAACAACATTTCATTTAATCTCCATCTAAAAGGTGTAGATTTCCTTTTATAAACCAAACTCATAGGATTGTGGTCAGAAAAAGTCTTTGGTAAAATCTCTACTTTAGAAATCTTAGCTAGATTCTTTGAGATACAGATCATATCTATTCTTGAAAAAGAACTATGTCTTTCTGAAAAATAAGTATATTCTTTAGAATTACCATTTTTTGTTTCCGTGCACCCACTAACCCTAAATTTTCCATCAAATTAAAAAAAAAAAAAAACTTGGTAATTTATCATGAGTGGTTTTAATGTTTTTGTCAGATGTATAGTCTAACTGGGGAAATCTCTCCATTCCAATCCCCCATCAAACACCAATTTTTGTAAGAAATATTCATAAAAACATTAATTTCTCCATAAGTCATTTATAAAAGGTTGCATTATCCTCATGTGGGGCATAAATTCCCAATATCATAGTCTTAGCCCCCACGTGGTTCAACTTCCACCCCAACAAATGTACCATGTTCATCAGTCAATATAAGTTCTGGTTTTTGTTGGAGTGTGCAAAACAACTCCATTTCTTGCCCTGGAATTGAATTCCATGTAGAAATAAAACTATTTTTCAGATGAGCTCTGTTGATAATTTGCCTGGATATATCTGTACAGTTTGCTTGGCATGAAATGGAAGTAGTCTGCCATTGCTTTCTTCTAGGATTTTTTTTTAATTCCTAGACTTTAAATTACCATCCTGGGAATTCCCAGGAAGTCCCTGGTTCAAGGGACACCCAGCTAAGCTTTCAATATCAGTCAAGATGCCACTGTCTGCTGTCCGTTCATGCCTATGAACAGTATATAGTTTTAAACTTAAAACTAGGTAGAATTACAAACCATGTTTAATATTTCCAAAACTTTTAGGAAACCATGCAAGTTTATCCATGACATTTATACAGGACACAACCTTTCTGTCCTAAAAGAACATGGGCTGCAAATCTTAAACTCTGATGAATTATGTCAACTGCTGCTTCAGAATGATCCTTCGCTCTTGCCCGAGGTGAGCTTATCACGCATGGTTGATGCTTCTTAATGGAATGAAATTTTAATTGTGCACGATGTGGCCCACTGAATCATTCTAATTTATCCAGGAAATTTGGTGTTAGGGGAATTTCATCTTCAGTTTTAAAAGTAAACATATATAATCTTTGTGGGTTTTCTGTTATAAACTTGAATGCAAAAAGTGCTGTAGTCAACATTGTCGTCATTGCTGATGAGGAAAAGTAGCCTGCATTTTGGGATGGATCCAGACTTGGTCAGAGTAAACCTGCAATCAGTAGGATTGAGTGTTGTCTAATATAACCCCCACTGATTGAGGCTAATCTAATTATAACTACAACAGGAGACATCTACAACGTACAGCTTAAGGACTATAACAATCACTATGTAGGACAGAAAGGCAGAAGACTAGCAGAGCACATCCATGAACACCAACTAGCAGTCAGAAGACATGATGAAAACTTAATCTCGCAACACATGGATAGACTCAACCACAGTTTCAACTGGGAAACTGTTAGCATCCTAGACCAAACCAAATCCAAAACTGCTTGGGAATTCCTGGAAGCTTGGCATTCAAACAAATCAACCATCAATAGACACATAGAGATAAACCACATTTACACACCATTCAAAAGAGACAATAAAAAAGCTCAGAAGGAAACAAAAAGGCCACATCCTCTCCAGCAGCCAACACACAGATAAGTAGGGAGGTAACACCAGGCAATCAAGCAGAAAACACTACCCAAATCAAGGAACCCAAGGAGAAAACCACACCCCCACTAAAGTGGCAGGGCAAACTACTATATATAAACAGGGACCAAGCAGCATCCTTACTTGTACTGATGATGTTACCTAGTTGGGCAAACAACCAAGCTCAGAGACCACCAAGGACTCCACTAATTGTAACAATGGGTGCAATATTGGAAGACCAGGTTAGGGACAGATCTTCATAGAATCTATGTGGTTGCTAGGAGTCGAAAATGACCTGATAATCATATCCAGCCCATTTTCTAGAATCATGCTACAGTAGTTTGTGTAACCATTTATTGAATAAGCTACAGTTGCTTGGTATCATACTACACACTGAATATAAACCATGGTTTGCAAACTACAGTGGCTGAATTCAAGGTCAAAATTCAGGCCAGAACCAAGCAGTCTGCTTAATGACCAAACAAGGTACATGAAATCAGCTGTTGTGTTTAGAGTTGAAAGAGAGGAACAGACTTCAGTTTGGTGCAAGACATTTTTCTCTGTGATTGATGCAGAGAAAAAAAATTACTTGCAACATGCATTTTTAACCATACATGTTTCAGGAATGTAAATACTTGTCTTTATATTTTGGGCTTTGAATGTTACTATTTTATTGATTCCTTTCACATAATTATAGATGCTTCTGCTGGTCACATCTATTTATTTGTTTATTATTGTATTTTTATACCCTTGCAGTTATTAATGACCCTGATTGGTTTACATCGTAACATCAGAATAGGTATTCTTGTCATAAAAGAGGAAGAAATGTATTTTGCAAAACACCTCTGTCTGACAGTTCAGAAGTAATTTGGGCTTGTTTTAGGCTATTGGTTAGTTGTTGCCATTTAAGCAAATTCAAACTTATGCTCCTGATGTGTTTTAACTGGAAATTGTGAAGTATAGAAGGAATATGTCCCTGCACATATTCAAGTGGCACTTTCAGTGACTATCAGTGGCCTTTCCAGTGATAAATCAGTATTTCTAGTTGGAGAGCCAGTTTGGTTAAGGCACTAGGCTAGAAACTGGGAGACTGTGAGTTCTAGTCTCACCTTAAGCATAAAGCAGCTGGTTGACCTTGGGCCAGTCACCTTCTTTCAGCCCTAGGAAGAAGGCAGTGGCCAGCCACTTCTGAAATCTTTCCAAGAAAACTGCTGGGACTTGTCCAGGCAGTTATCAGGAGTCAAGACTGACTTGAAGGCACCCCCCCCCCCAAAATTGGTCTCAATTATTGGGCTTAGTATTTTTATTTTGGTTAAATCTTTTTTCCAAGATTGCTTTGAAAACCTCTTGTTGAATGAGTGGGATATAATAATACTCAATTAAAATAAAGGCCCTAGTCTAAGATTACAGCATTGCTAACTTTATCATAAGGAGGCATAGTTTATGCTGTGGGATTCCTTTAATAAGGCAGTAGAAAATTGCCACTGACTGGTGTAATCAGTTTTGAATATGCATTTTGGAAGAAAGCAATCTTCCAGTGCTATCAGTGGTCATAGCTGGGGATAGAACCTTGTATAATAGAAGGTGAGCACCTGGTATTGAATTAGGGTGGCTCCTTGCTCTCTGTCTAAACCTCCCTGGAGATGCTTTGAATCCCATGTTCCTTGTGAACATTTAGGCATAATTATGTATTTACATGTTTGCTTGGCTAGAGATAGACTAAATATATCCATTTGCTTTAAAGATACCATTTTTCCCCCTTTCCTTCACCAGATCTGCCCATATTACAACAAAGGGGATGGGCCTTATGGATCTTGCACCTTTAAGAAGATCTGTGTTAAACTTCATATATGTCAGTACTATCTCCAGGGAGAATGTAGATTTGGGAATAACTGCAGACACTCTCATGATATTTTTAATCCTGATTGTTACGAGAAACTGGAGAAGTGGGGGATGAGTCAAGCTTTGATTAGTCGAATTCCATTGATCTACAGGAATGTGTATGACATAAAAAGCAGAGCAGCATCAACACACAAAGGTAAAGTACTTTATCCTGTTTGGAAACAGTACAGCAGTCATCTCCAGTCTGATACTCTCTAAATGTCTTGGGACTATAATTCCTAATTTTCCTGTCATGCTAACTTGGGAATTCTGGGAGTTGTTATCTCTGCACAGTCAGGAAGTATAGTAAGTTGGAAGGGTTGGGCTGTCAGAATCACCTCAGTGCTTTGCATTGTAGCAATTAGCCAGCTTGTGATACAGGAGATCTGAACTGGGGTAATCCAAACTCAGTTTGACACTCACCTAGGCATTCTAAGACCACTGTTGTTGATCAGGGAGGTATGCAAGGGTTTACATCTGTCTACTTTGCATGACATGGCCAGCTTGGTCATCTCTGAAAAAAGAGAGAAAATATAGTTGATCTTCTGTGCTTTCTCAGCTGTGATTGTAAAAACCTCAATTATGCAATTGGAAACAGTATTAAATAGGCTGCATTTGGCTGTTTGCCGATTAGGATTGCATAGTTCAAAGTTTTTAAATAATTTATGGGAAGATAAGCATTTGGAAGCTTTCTCCAGCTCTGCTGCATGATCAATCAGCAGTTACCAGTCACTCTTTTTTAGCCCAAATTACAGATAGTCCTCGCTTAACGACAGTAATAGGAACTGGAATTTCTGTAACTAAGTGATGGGGTCATAAAGTGCGATATCACATGACCACATCACTTAGCAACAGCAATCCCAGCAGTCTCCATTACTGTTGTTAAGCGAGGATCGTGGGTCGTTAAGCGAGGACCTCATCATGATTCCTTGCCAGCTTTCAACAAGCAAAGTTAATGGGGAAGCCGTCAGGAAGTTGAAAGTCCCAGGTGGGTTGCAAGTCCCAGGCCGCTGGGTCGGTAAGTCACTGCTGTGGCTTGGTGCAAACACGGGTTGAGGGGAGGTGGCTGCTGCCAGGTGCGGGAGGATGTGCTGGTGGCCACTGTCATGTGAGCATGGCCAGGCCGGGGATGACCGCTGCCAAGTGCGGGAGGATGCACCCGTGGCTGCCGCAGCAGTGCACAAGTGTGGCTGGTCAGGCAGGTGTGCCACAGAGTATGGGTGGGGGGTGCTGCAGGTGAGTGCGTGCTACAGGGGTCTCATACTCCATAGCCAGGCTTCTCTGGAGAAAAAGCAGCAGGAGTGGGAGAGACTTACAGGGGCGACTTGTGACCTTCCCTGCTAGCCTCCCCATTGACTTTGCTTGTAGGAAGCTGGCAGGGAAAGTCACAAATTACAGTCCCATGACCATGGGACGGTACAACTGTTGTAAGTGCAAGCCAGTTGCTAAGCACTCAGATCATGATCACATGACTGCAGGGTGCCGGAATGGCCAGGATCTGTTGTAAGTACCACTCATTCAGTGCTGTCGTAACTTCTAACAGTCACTGAATGAGTGGTCGTTAATGGAGAACTACCTGAGCCTCCAAGGATTATTGTGGGGAAAAATAGGAGGGAGTGCTATATATAACATGTTGAGATGAATGAAAGAAAGGATATAAATCTTATAAAGACAGTTATGGAAATCAATTGTGTTAATCTGTGTTGGGTATCTTGTTACCTTTTTTCCTTAATGTGATGTTTTGGTCATTTCACATTGATCTGAGAGAGTCCATGTGATTCCTACACTTCTAGTAAATGTGTTCTCCACAAATATTTCTCTGCAATAAGCTAATGAGAAGTCCCTGTTCTTTCCTACCTTGTTCTTCCTTTTCTGAACTTGTTGCTTCTCCCTTATCCTTCACCACCGCCTTTTTCAGTTCTTATATTTTCTCAACTCTGCAATACAACAATCTTGTGCTTTTTTTGTACATTTTTTTGGGTTATGCCAGGGGTGGATGTAAAATGGAAACATTAGAAGACGGCAATTGATTCCCCTTTCAGGTCACTGGAAGATAATTTCCCACCAGGCAAAATGTTTGATTGGATAAACCATGATACATGAACCACAGAGGCTGGATTCACATACCATGCTAAGACAAGACCAGACTTCATTATGGTTTTGTGTAATGTGTGAATTCTGCCTACAGGGATCAGCATGTCTTTTCTCTTGTTGATTGCTTGTGTGTGAGGGAGGAATCACAACTGTCCTTGCTGTAAACAATTTAAATATATGTTGAGGATTAGGGGAAATGTTGCATAAAATAATACTTTTCTTCCTGATGTTAGGAAGGGTTTAGGCCTTGAAACACTGAAAGAAAGATAGAGGGTCTTAAGTGAGCTGCAACTCACAAAAGCTTATCCTTGTTAATAAAATATGTTAGTCATGAAAGGTGTTCCCAACTCTTCCTGATTTTTTGCCACCATAGACTAACAGAGTTCTCTTCCTACAGAGTCTTAATGAAATCAAGAAATCCTCTCCCAAATCATGCCCCCGCCCATAACCTTTTAACCACAGCCTCTTTCTGGCCTTGTAATTCTAGAACTGATCTGGGTACTTAAGTCTTCCCTTGAGGGGGATCAACTTTTGTAAACCTCAGATATACAGGGAATTGGAGGAAGTCAAAATAATGTATCTTTTGTCATTTTGAGTCAAAGTATATGCATCATTTTTCCTTAGAGAGAAGAGAAAATCAGGTATTGTCCACCACAGACACTGATGAATCAGATATGATTTGTTTATACCACATTAGGAAAAGTTGTAGCTTTCAAGGTAAGTGGGGTAAAATCCATGTTGGGTGTTCTGGCATCACTTGGGTCAAGCTTTCCCTGTTTCTGATATGTGATATGAATGCTACTATTTCTCACCCTACCCTTAGAATCATGAAGTTAGAAGAGGTCATTTAGGCTGAGTCCAACTCTTGCTCAGTGCAGAAATCCAAAATAAAGGATCCTAGATAGATAGCTCTCTAGTCTCTATCTGTATAGAGATCATCACCATTCCGCGAAATTGGTTCCCTTGTTGATCTGGTCTTGGTTTTGTGTATTTCCAGATACCACAAACTTGACCTTTAGCATCATTTCCGAGCAGCTTAGATGTAGGCCACAGGACTTCTTTAGCTTAGTTTTTTTTTTTTTTAATGCTTGTTTGTGGTCTCTGCCACCACCCACTGCTAGTTGCGCCTTCAGTAGGAAAAAAAAGCCAGTTTTTAGTTTAGAAAGCTATGGTGTAATTTCACATTTGTGTTGTGAAGTGAGGTTGTCATCTCTTGCTGTTAGGACATATGTGAGAAGGAATAATTGATTAAGAACTACAGCTACCATATTTAGGCTGCAAAAATCTGGACAATTATTCAGCAAAGAATTATGAGGGTTTTTTTTGGCTCTTTTCTTTTTTTTTGGCAGCCCAGTTTTGGAACACTCTTAGAAATTGAAGGCCTGATTTGTAATACCTCTGACGACTTCTGATGTAGCACAAACCGGGCAATTAATATACAGCTGATGTATATAAGTATGTGCAAAAGAGGGAATAAAAGGTCTGAAGATGGGACAGTTGCAAGGGGCTCCCCATCCTGTATGCCTGGAAATTTCATCAGTACTAACGCCTTAGCATTTCTCCTTGAAAAGCATTTTAATGGATCAAGAATATAATATAATATTGGTTTTGTTTATCTAGATAAGTGTACCCGAGTTCACTACCATTTGCCATATAGATGGCAAATTTTACATGGGACTTTGTGGAAAGATCTGAATGATATGGAGGATGTTGAGCGAGCCTACTGTGACCCAGTCAATGAAAGGTATAGATATATTAATAATTTGTTCTTATAATAACATGTTCTTACCTGACTTAAATTGTATTGATGCTATTTTTGCTACTTTTTTCTACTTTAAAGGTTTTAATGCATGCTTAGCTGTTTTTAATGGTTTACCTACTATTGTAACATATAGACGTGATATGAAATATTTTAATTTAATATAGGCTACCTATGGAAATTAGAGGAATGCATATGTGTGTATGTATGTCTTCAAGTCAGTTTTTGACTCCTGAAGACTTCTTGGACAAGTCCATGCAGTTTTCTTGGCACCATTTTGGAAGTGGTTTACCCTTGCCTTCTTCCTGGGTCAGTCCTCCCAAAATGGAGTGACTGGCCCAAGGTCACCCAGCTGGCTTTGTGCCTAAGGTGGGACCAGAGCTCACAGTCACCTGGTTTCTAACCTGGTGCCTTTAACTGCTATACCAAACTGACTCTCACCTGGACTAATCCATGCAGTTTTCTCAGAAATATTTTCAGAAGTGGTTTGCCATTGCCTTCTTCCTTGGGCTAAGAGACAGTAACTGGCCCAAAGTCATGCAACTGGCATTAATTTGTAATCAAAATATGTGCAGTCCTTGATATTTCTGATCGTACATAAATCCCATATTGTGCTACTCCATTTCTGGACTTATATTTACTGTAAATACACAGTAATCAGATCCAGATTGGGACTACTGCAAGTGGGTGAGAGAAACTAAATCTTTCCTCTCAAGTCTCTCTGTTTGCAAAATTTTTCCTTCCAGTGGAGTTTTTCTTCCTCTCAGTCACTCAGTAATGAATTAAAGAAGCAGGGGAAGAAGAAGGTTTCTCCCATTCCATATGCAGGTCCTAATCTGGATTGGGCTGCTATGTATTTACTGTAAATAGAATCTGGAAGCGGAGTAGCATGGAAACATACAATTTATGCTCCATATAATTCAATTTTTAGACTCATATAAGTTACACTTAAGATTTTGATGAAGTCAGTACAAAAAGGTATAGAACTCAGTTGATCCCAGTCTAATATTGAGTTTTATTCAGTGAGACTGAATTTCTCCTTTCCCCTTCTTTTGAATTTGCAAAGATGGGAAGAATGAGAATAATAGAAGGAGGAGATTTTTCAAACATTTGACTTTAATCAAAAGCCTAGCATTAAAAGAGTATTTATCACTAACCTGGATCTACCCAACATTTGAACCTGGGACTTTTAGCACATAAAGCATATGCTGTATCAGTGAAACACAATATAAAATAATATACCTTATAAATATAAAAATGATACAAGTCCTTTCAGTTGTCTCTTGCTTGGGTATCATAGATATGGCCTCTTTTATGACCATGGTATCACCTACTTATCATTCTGGCTTTACAGTGAGGTTTTAAATAAGGTCATATGCTTAATTATTTGCTGTAGTTGCGAAACAATTTATGCTGAAACAGTGCTTTTTGTGAATATTTTTGTCATTTTTTTTAAAAAAACTTGCTTTTTGGTGACATTTCAAGGAAGAATTGTTTCAGACTGAATTTTGTATGCCTTTTGATTTCTCCTTTAGCAACTTTATTTTTAAAATCTGTCTATCTTCTTCCTAGATAAAAGGGTATCATTATTTAGATTTGGCCCCTGAGGTTGGATAAAGCTTATTCTTGCCCTAAATTAGCTTCACTTGCTCTTAGGAACTTACATCCATAGCAAATGTGATACAGTTTGTAAAGGATGAAAAGTGTCTGGAATAATAAATTACATTGGGGAGCTATTTGGGGTTGTGGAGCTATGAGAAATAGAAGTTTTGGGATTCTTCTGAGGAATACATCAGCTAGCTAAAAGTTTTTTTTCCACACAGAAAATATACCTCACTGTTCTAATGTATTTTTCTACTTTTCATAAAAAGACCATTAAAATAGAAGATAGAATACATTTTTTTGAATAGCTTTAACCTTTTTGTCCACAGGCAGTTCCACTTTGGAAGAAAGGAACTTGGCCAAGGTTTATGCATGAAGTATATTGATTTCTCCAGTATGACATGTGGCTCTGCTAAAATTAGACGCCTCTCCACAGCATCTTCTGTGACCAAGCCTCCTCACTATATTCTCACAACAGTTTGGACCTGGTACTGGAAAGATGAATATAATGTATGGAATGAATATGGAAAACAAGTAAGTAAAGCTTTTTTTAAAAAAATCGTTCAGTCATGTCTGATTCTTGGAGACTGCCTGGACAAGTCCCTGTAGTTTTCTTGACAAGGTTTTTCAGAAGTGGTTTGCTATTGCCTCCTTCTTGGGGCTGAGAGAGAATGAATGGCCAAGGTCACCCAGCTGGTTTTGTGCCTAAGGCAGGACTAGAACTCAAAGTCTCCTGGTTTCTAGCCTGATGCCTTAACCACTACACCAAACTGGCTCTCAAGTAAAGATTACTTACACTGAAATAATGTTGTGATTTTCTTCTGTATGATGTATAGTATCCTAATAACTTTAGTACCTGGAATGAAAATCCAACTGACATTCCTCTCTTACTACTAAATTAATGTAATGCAGCAGTACAAAATGAAACAGCAGTACAAAATGGAAACTTTAACAGCAAGAATAAAATAAAATCAGGGTCAATGTTTTTAAAAGGCCAAACAAATTAAAAATGTTGGAAAGACAAGGAAACAGACTTCAACTCCCATAATCCCTAGTAAGGTCTTAGCCACCCAGAGACATTGGTCTGAGATGGGCAGCTATATAAATTGATTGATTGATTGATTGATTGATTGATTGATTCATTGATTGATTGGATGGATGGATGGATAGATAGATAGATAGATAGATAGATAGATAGATAGATAGATAGATAGATAGATAGATAGATAGATAGATAGATAAGGCGACCAATAGAAGTTAAACTCCATCACAGGTTGGGGAATACTGCAAAAGGTGACACACTGAGTTTCAATAAATAAATCTTACAATAAATTATGGGTATCAGGAAAGCCTGTCTAGAAATGGTGTTTTACGAATTGTACACTCTTTCAATATTTGGGGGACATACCTGCTTAGGCATCAGAAGAAAGGCCATCACATATATAATCAAAATATGCTGGCTGGTTCATGTTAAAATAAACAGTCCATCCAAAATCTGGCTGTTAAATTTCAGTTTGAACAATGCTGGAAATGAATGGATATCTGGTGAAACTGCTTCCCATTAGGTGGTCTCAGTTAATAATTCTTGTTTATTGACGATGGAGCCAAGAAGAAAGGCTCAACCAGTTCTAGCTAGAAGATAGGACTTAAGATTTCTTCCTGGTTCATGGAGGAAACTTTCTGTTTAGTCTGTAGCTCTCTGTTCTTTCATGGAGGAAGGATTGAAGGTTCAGAAAGAGTAGAAGATTTCACCTCCAGCGCTGAGAAGAAAGTGGGGGAAGAGCTTGGTAGATCACTGCACTGACAGTGGGTTGCAGTAGAGAGACCTGCTAGCTAAGGCTAGTGGTAAATACATTATGCAGACTGACAACTGCCTTGGACTCTGTCCTCCAGGAAGAATAAGGGGCATCTTTAGCTGGCCACCCTCATATGTGTCACTTTCTCAGAAATGCAACCCTTTTATCCTGAGACATCCATCATTTTTCTTAATGGGACTTGTCATTGGTTCTTAAGGCTCTAACGACTGCTCCCTTTGAACCTATCACAGATATCCCCATTATCATCTCTTACTTCATGGTAAGTCCACCTACTGGTCTCTTCATAGGTATCCCCAAATACAATACAGTATAGATGGGTCTTTCTTTCTTTTTTCTTTTTTTTAGTATTAATTTCTATTGAAGAAATTTTTTATAGAGTAAAAATAATACAAATTTAAAGAAGAAAAAGAAAAGTAAGAAAGAAAAGAAAAAATAGAAATAAGGAAGCAGCTTCTGATTTTCTTTACAGCAGTTATAAATGCATTTGTATTTTATCCTCTCTCTCTATAGTTATATCATGGCTCCCTTCCTTCCATGTTCCAATTGTCAAGCCCATAAATCACAAGTTCATTTTTTTCTGTTTTCAGCAAAAAGCCCATAAAGGGTTTCCAGTCACTAACAAATGTAGTTCTTGTCTTTTCCCTAATAAACAAGTCAGTTTTGCCATCTCTGCAAATTTTGCCATCTTTACCGACATACCAACTTGCGAGTGTTTCAGACGTTTTCCATTTTTGTGCATATAAAAATCTCGCTACAGTTACCATATACAAAAACAATCTTCCACAGGTCTTTCCTAGTTGTCTGTCCATTAGTCCCAGCAAAAAAAAAGTTCTGGTTTCAATTGAATATCATTCTTTAAAAGCATACAAAGATATCACTGTGTGTATCGAACCCCAAATATTCTAGCTTTTTACAAGTCCAGCAAGCATAATAAAATGACCCTTTGTATTTTCCACATTTCCAACATAAATTTGAAGTACCTTTAGACATTCTAGAAAGTATAGATAGGTCTTTCTAATCCTTAGGAAAATCCTTTATTAAAAAAAAAAATCTTAAGAACCTAGATTTTTCTGGAGTGATATACAAATCCTTTTTGTTTGGTTCTGTGGTACCAGGATAATGATCATGCTGCTGCTACTGTGTCCAGCTTTGACTTGGAGAAAGCCTATCAGTCTGAAGCATTTACGACCCTCCAGTTCTCGGCTGGGATACAGAATTATGAGATTGATTTTAAAGGTGTGTTTTCCCTCTTGCAATCAGTTGAGAGCACCAGATAAAAGTCCATGTTGTCCTGCCTTAGCCAAAATATTTGGTTCTTTTAGCCCAGTATTGTCTATTAGGAAGAGCTGTCCAACTAAATAGAAATCAACCAGTTTTTGTATTAATAAACTTGGATATAATTAAGTTATCATATTAGGTCAGTGATTCTTAAACTGTTTGACTCAATACCATTTTCCCAGTCTCAGATACATAATGTCATTATTTATACCTCTACAAAATATCCAGACTCTGTTGTTTTACACAAGTGTTTCGGCAGCATCAGTCCTAAACTGGATCCTCGACTCACAAATAAGCAATTACAAATTGCTCTATTATCCCAAATAGGATATGCCCAAATTACCCCCAGTTTAAGAACTGCTGTATTAGATCATAAAGTCAGTAATAGTCAAACTGGGTAGGATTACCTAGTGACAGAAGACAATTTGTCCTCAAATAATACAGTCCCTGTAAAGGCGCTTTAGAGGGCAGTCTGTCTTTTCTGAGTGTAGGTATATGTACATAGATATTTTTTTCTAGATTAGGAGCAGATTTTTAATGGAGGTTTCACTTTCTTGAGACTTTGATTGAAGTGCGCCTTCACAATGAAGCCACAAAGCAAAGAAACATCCCCTTTTCTTTGCTGAGATTGAATGTCCATGCACCTGGCTTAAGCATAGCTGATTAAGGTGGATAGGGCTATTTTGTCAAGTCCAAAAGAGACACTCTAAAATCTATTAGTCGGCATGAATTGGTGGTGAATTGTACGTCCCTATTAATCAGGTTCAGCTGTTACTGATGAACTGCTAGGCCCAACTTCATGGGTAACATCATCCAAGCATGTAGTTTCCTAAACACGGGACTTCAGTGAGTCTCCGGAAAAGGGCATGAGTGGCCTTGCTTGACAAATAACTTTTGTCTTTAAAGCATTACTCTAATTTGGAATCAATGTTGTATAAAAAAGTGAATATATAAACTTGGCCCCTTTGATGGCTTGGTTAATAGAAGTGTCAGGCCTAGCCCAAGGAACTCCTGGAGACCGTGCAGGTTCAATCAGCAAGGTTTA